AGGTGTTGTATTTGAGCCTCCATCTAGGATTGCTCCACCACATCTCTTATGTTGTAAATCTCCTATTAGATTCCACTATTGTAATGCCTTCTCACCTCCTAATTGACTTTTTAAGAGTAGCTCGTGGTAGCCTCAATATGGTATTTAGTGTAACCATAATAAGTGACCTTAGACTAGATGATGACTATTGACACACTACCAAAGAACAATCTAATACTCACTTTGATACCAATGAAAGAAGACCAGTCTATCTCAAGTGTCTAAGATCCTTCTAATCCACAACATAAAATCTCATCACAAGATTGGACAAACTGAACCAAAATAAAACTAAACAAAACTAAATACAATGGAACATAGAAGACAAATTTGAGCAACTAGAATTAAAACAAAAAAAAATAAAACAAAAAAGTAAAAAATCCAATTATATTAAGAGAAAGGATTCAGAGCCATATCTAACTAGATGCCTCAAAAGGCTCTTGCCAATCCTATTTATACTTTATTCTACCACCTTGGACTTTTTAGAATGTTCCTAGATGATAGATCTTACTTAGACAACTGCCTTAAATTCCTTCTAGAATGTTCTATGGTAGACTCCGCCTAAATAATTATCCTAAATTCTTTCTAGAATGTTCCATGGTGGATCCTACTTGGTCTACTAACTTATCCTCAATTCTAAAAACTTCCATAACTTCTCAAATATGATTCTAACTATTTATTCTTATATGCTAATAATACAAATATTTTATCTATATCGTGTTACAATTGATCTCTACCAAAGCTTATTATGTTTATGAAGTCTTTGCCAGATGCAACTAGATGAATGTGTGTCTATATTTTTGGTATTAGAGATAGAAAAGTGGAATAGAAAATAAGAGCTTCAAGTTTGTGAAAGAGGAGGTTATGAAAAAAAGAATTACTTTTGGATTTATTTTGTTGATAGTAGTGTTGCGACATAAGAACTACTAACATGCAAACAAATAAAAATATAATATTATCAATCATTTGTAAAGTTTCTTAAGTGCCAATCTTGTTAGATGGTTCAAATTTGATACCATCTTTAATTTTTGTGTAATATAAATAATAAATATAAAAAAATAATTTTAAAAAATTAAAAAAATTAATAAGTCAAAACATGAACTTATTGGATTATGTTGAACTTACATTAGGTGCCATAAGTACATCTTTTAGGCATCTCATATCAATAGCCACTAAAGTTGCCATTGACATGATTGTGTATACCAATTGTGTTGTTATTGCTAAATCTATTATCTTCACATGCAACAAAAAGAGTTGTTAAAAATATTTTGGCCAATTTTGATGCATGTTCATTTGATACCAAATTTTTTGAAAATATACAATAGTTCCATATTTATGTAATGCATCTACCTAGTACTGGCATTGCATAGAGCAAGCACTAAAGATGATATTTTTTCATGAATTGAAGCTTCAATAGTACATGTTAGCATGATCATTGAGCAGAGTTGCCAGTGATATCTCTTCATATAGAATACAAGAATCATTGTTGGTGATACCTATTTACATATAATACAAGGGATATATTTGAAATTAATAAAAATAAAAGAATATTCTTAATACTTTAAGGTACTGAAGGATACATTTGAAATTTTTTCTAAATTTTAACTATAACATTATTATTTTTGGTTTTACCGAATTTTTATTTTTAATATTAAATAAATATTACATTTAGTAAAATATTTCATAAACTTAATTTTAATTCTTATAATTTTTTATATTTTTTTATTTTTTTATTCATGTATAAAAATATAGATATATCAATTTTTATGAAACAAAAAATTTGTATAAATAAGTGCAAATAATAGATTCTATCTTATTTTTTAAAAAATAATAATAAAATATAATAAGTACATAATTTAAATTAAATATTTCTTTTCTATTATAGATAAAATTTAAAAAATAATCAATACTAAAATTCTTTTTAGTATAGTCACAATCTACACTAATCATAAAAATATTAAATTTTCTTTTTTTTTATTAGCTTGTGTCTTAAATTGTTGTCATATACATTGGTGCCTGATATTGTTACAATTCATTTTTAATCTTTTAGATTGTTCACAAAAATTAAATGTGTAATTATATGTCTTGTATACATACTCTAAATTTATGTAAAAATAAAAAAGATGGATTATGTGATTAAAAAAAAAAAAATCTTTTATAACTTTAAAAACTACATTTTAATTTACACAATTATTCTTTTCTTATTGATTCCACATTTATTTAAGAAGTGAAGTCAAAAGTATTATGTAATCTTCTTATACCTAAAGTTAAAAATAATCTTTATATCAATTTAAGTAAGTTCGGTTTTAAAGACGATCTTTTCTATTTCAAAGGTTTTTTGTATATTCTTTAAGTCTAGGTATAATTGCATGCACTTCAAACATACTCTTTTGGATACAAAATAATATAGACCTTATTTCAAGAGATATTTAGTAATCTCAACTATACAAAGCTATCAAAGAATTTTACAGTATTGTAATTTTATTTTATTTTATGTTATATACTTAACCTTATAAAAGATTTTAACCATTGTCTATTTTTTTAATGGATTTTATTATAAATTTGTTTTTTTTCCAACTGTAATTTTTTTAAAATAAAAATGACATATATTAGACCTTGTACAAAGTTTAATACAAATCAAAAGGCAACCAAATTCTTTCTTGATAATGTCTATTAATATCACGTGATTTTAATTTTTATTATATACAATCAAATATCTTAACTTATATCAAATTTTTAGTGGAAATTCTTTAAGATTTTTAAATAGAAGTTAAATTTAAATTAACATAAATTTAATAAAAATAAAACTTTGTGTTGAATTAATAGATTTTCTATACTTTTAAATTAAGTATTAAAATAATAATTCACTAAAACGTAAATTATTATGATAATTTTTAGATGATTTTTTATTATTTGTATACTTTATTTTATTTTATTTAATAATAATACAAGACATAAATCTACTTGATTGCAAACATATAAAGATTTATGCCATTTGTTACTATAAAATGTTACAATCCAAAAATCAAATCAATGATCAAAGACTACATTGATGAGATGGTGTACAATAAAAAAAAAAGAGGCAAATTTAGTAATGTGATTTATTTTAATAGATGGCAAGATGTAATGCCTTTAATATCCATAATTTTATAAGGTAGTTTAAATACTTGGTAATATTTTTACTAGAAAATACTATATTTAATGTCATTCCAAATATGTTATTTGAAGATATTTATAATGGTCTTAATAATTATAAAATAATAAAATATTTTTCTTACCTAAGAATTACCTAGGTATAAACTAGGGCTCATACTTAGGTATTATACCTAATTTATGTCTCAAAGATCTTTTTGACTACCTTTGTTCATACCATAAATTAGAATTTGTGATAAGAAACATTTGATAAATTTTGGACTTAATTGACTTTTAAAGCAATTTAAGTTCTTATTATTCTTTGTGGTACTCATTCTTAGAAGGAAGAATACTATAACATAAACTTATATTAGTCAATCAAAGAATAATAGTTTTAATAGAAGTAATTAATAATAGATAGAAACATCACAAAAACTTCTTAGGAATAAATTAGATACACTTGAATTTTTGTATTGAGAAGTTGTGTAAAAAAATTAAATCTTAATTATATTTCATTATTTTATATTTAATATTTTTTAAAGCATGTCAAAATATGTGATTATTTTCATTATGTATAAATGTACATTAGAATCACTAATTTTAAAGAAAATAATGTGGAAGTAATTAACATAAATATCTATTAAGATTAATTATAATATTTGGTAAGTTTATACAATTAGGATAGAATCAATAATACTTCATAATATTAATTATTTTAAAGATCTATACATTACCTTAGGTTTTCTAGGGCTGAAAATTTATTCAATATTACAAAATGTATACATTATTTAATATATAATGCACTGTTTTAATCCTTGCAACATTTGTCTTTAATTGGTGTAATTTTGCAAATCTAGGCTTTTGATTATTTATGAAATCTTGCAAATTTTATAATAAATCTTTTGTAATATTTTAGTTGTTTCTTGAATATTATAAAACCTTTAAAAAAAAAAAAAAAAAAAAAAGAAAAGAGTCTTGAAAACTTGATATTTGATGCAATTATGGAAATTGTTAATGTAAGCATTTTAAGAAAAGGTTTGTTTTGTTTAAGTGATTTCGTGGAACACATTTCTTATTAATTTAAAATTTTAAAATATATATATATAAGATTTTCCTGCACATTTGAACACAAGATAAATGTTGATTTCATTGTTCATTAACACCATTTAACCTGAAATTACTCTTGAAAAGACAATGGAAAGACCTAGTGTATTCTGAAGTACCAGAGGTTGTTTTTGCATCCATCCAGGTTAGTTTGATGTGTTTAATTCTGCGTCAATGTGAAAAAATGCATAAAATGAAGTGAAAATTTGTGCATTACTTACATGTACTTTTGTTAAATAATTGATCACAAGAGCATCAACTCACAACCCCCTTCAGACTGATAATAAAAGTAGCCGGTGCAATAAACCAACACCTAGAGAAAATTTCAAATTTGAATGGCTAGAAATCACACATTCTAATCGTTATCGTTTAAAAAGAAGTAAAATATACACAAATAATAGAGCATACTGTGTAGTAACTGTCAAACAAGAAGACTATGGGCGATAACTTAATTTTTGTCATTGTCCAGAATCCGGGTTCGGAAAGAAGATGACCTCTCTTGACTAAAATGTAAGCAATTAGTAAAAGTTAGCGTTAGTTCTCGGAATACTATGGTGCACAAGCGACAGATTTCAAACACAATGCCTAGGTCACAAGATTATTTTAAGCGCCAAACGCTGGACAGGACGTCGGCCATCACCACCTGTAATAACTTGATCCTCAACATAAAGCAGCGAAAATAAACACAAATATTGTCAAAGCTGGAACCATGCACGGGAAAGAAAACGTAGGCAATAGTATGACCCGGGTTAAGTTGTGGCTGTATGAACAAAATAGATAGCATGATACAACGACGAATACTGGCAGATATAAGCAGGAGCTTGTCACGTAGAAGTCTTGCTCCGCATGCCAGCTGTTATGCTGTGCAAATCACATACTACAAGGCCAATATTTAACACTTCTCAAGTAAACTAGGCCGTTGCCAAATTCCACGAGTATACTAAAGAAAAAAAATCTTCCGAAGATGATAGTTGGCACAAGTTTCCTGAAGGTAAGGCATAGGAAGTTTTGCATTCCCAACCACTTGAATAACTCTAGTTCTCTTACACATGACAATATTGAAGAGGCAGTATACAAGCGAAGCATCCCAGAAAGAATAAATCGACCATCAGCTCCGTCTCCTCTTGTGGGCTGGTGACGTTGACCTTGATTTCCTGTTCCTGAGTCCCAAAGAACAAAAGTACCCCATGCTCAACAAATCAAATCTCTCATTTCAATAAGATAGTTATGACTAGAAAGACTTCCTGAAACCGGCAGGTTTATGTCACTTCCCAAACAGACAAATTCAGGGCATAGGAAAAAAAAAAAAAAAAAAAAAAAAAAAAAAAAAAAAAAACTCTTAACCAACTGCAGTGCACAGGAAGATCATGATATGCACATCAAGAGGTTAAGAGGTTCTTATCCAGAATGACGGATTGTTTCCACCAGATGCCTCCGCGGAGATATTACAATGTATAGAATTTCTATTAGCTAACAAATACTAAACCAGACGCTATAGAATGCCATTAAAAGGAGGCACCAACAAAACTTTAATTAAGAGGGTGACGCATTGTACCTATCCTTCTCACGGGAAAGAGAAGGGGAATGCCTGCGATGAGAGACCTTGCTATGTGGCACTGAACGCGAAGGAGAGCGCGAAGTTCGTCTAGAGATAAACACATCATCATCATCACTTGCCATGTAAGTCAAACCACAATCAAAATCTCTCCTCTTACAGAGCTGACCCTGCTCTTTTGAGAGCTGTGCATTGGCCTGCCCTCAACAGGGCACCTGCACAACAGGAACTTGGAACCGGCAGTTTGTACTTACATGTCCAACGGTACCCATACCTTAAGATGCGGTGAACATCTCCCAGAATGTGCGCGTCCATTCTGGCACTGAGCATTATGACTCGTGCAGGTACTTCTGTGCTGGGGTGTGCTGGGATGTGCTGGGATTTCTATGTAATCTGAAGTTAGTATCAGAGGAAATACCTAAGAGGCACAGACTCACCGAAAGCAACAGAATTCTGTAGACCAAGCATAACCTCGATGATACAACAGATGCACCCAGAACTCAAAAGATTTACTGAAATCACCACACCCTTACTGTTCGCTATAAGATCCATCAGTGTTGATGGGGAACACAGCTAACATTGAGACCCGAAAGTTTCACACAAGCAAGTAGCAATGGTACAAGTAGCGCTTTAAATACTAGAATCCAATTGTTTTTCGAACTAATTATGTTTGATACTTAATGAATAAGGGCATCAACCTTGAAAGACACAGGTGGAGCACAAAGCATTAGAGCACATAATTAGTAGAAAACATGACCAATTAACATCTAAGGTGCGTGTAAATGGTTCAAAAATACCGTTAATTTTTTTAGGCAAAGTCGAAAAAACTTAACGAACTCAATTCTCACAATTACTGACGTTCTAAAATCCTAAAATGTGACCCTCTCCTACATTTCCACGGACTGGACATACCTTACCAGACAACCATGCCTCTTGACTGGCATCCATTGCCACCGAATACCGATTCAAATCTAAACGCAAGTATTTATGTTCGAAACTGCCGATTCCAAGAAGAGGTGATTCTCATCTTCAAAATGAGAAATTAGGAGCAATAAAAAGACCCGAGCTGTATTAAATGATCAGACTTCATTTCACGACACTTCAACTACCAGATCAAATATGATTAAGCGGGATCAATGGTTTTTAGTCAACGTTAATAATATTTCAACGCAATTCAAACGTCGCGCCATTATTGTTATCGATTGATCATTCGACTAGCAAAATTCTCAAGGCACCTCCGTAAACAAGCAGAAGGAGAGCTTTGCATGCAGCCTACACAAGTAATCATCTCCCCAGTATAAGACGAAAGAACAAACCGCAAAACACTGCAGTGCGGAAAATTTCAACACTACATAAGAGCCGCAACCATAAAATAACATTAAAATCCTAAAATAGATGGGGCAGATCAAATTTCGAGTTCTGGGGGCATATTTTTTTGCATATCACTACGGACATGTTTTCCAATACTGACTTAAGGTGTGATCCATGCACCGTGCAAACCATAACAAGTAAAAGATCCTGACAACAACGTACAGTACATAGACCAACCATTTTCCAGCACCCTCAGCACAAGAAGGCGTGCAGTCATGCCTGCTATTGTTGAAACCGGATTTACCAAGCCACCAAAAAACAAACCATTATTTGTTGAAATACTTGAAGGTAATTGTATATTAGCAACACACCTTCGAGATCTCAATGGAGGTGAGGAATGACTTGATTTCTTGCTGGACCTTCCTCCTTGTTGTTTTCTGCACAGAAAAAACGGAATATCAATCAAAGAGGTTTGATATTCCGAGCTTGTAAAGCTGATGCGATACCACCGAAGAACATAATAGTCTTGGGACATTCTCAACTTACCCTCTTTTCGGGCTCTCACTTCGTGCAGGGCCAGGGCTGCTGCTTCGACTTCCGGAAGCGCTGCTGCTTTCACTCCGACTCCGACTCCGACTACTTGATGATGAAGAGCGCCTCCTCTGAGACTTGTTGTAACTTTTCTCTCTCTCCATTTTGTTAAGCGTGCTCTTTCGGTCAAACTGACTAGAAGTAGATTTGCGTCTCTCCCTTTCAGAATCCCGGCCCCTAGATTTGGTACCCTTTCCTCTATCTTTATCCTTCTCTCTTTCTTTATGCTTTTCCCGATCTGATTCCCTTTCACGCTCACTGATCTTCTGTACAGTATGCTCTCTCTCCTTATTTCTTTGGCTCTCTCTGTCTTTAACCTTCTCCGTATTCTCTCTAATTCTGTCCTTCGCATTCCTGGATGAATTCTTCTCCCGCTTTAGATTGTTCTTATGATAACCATCGCCTTCAGCCTCCTTGGCGTCTTGCTTGGCATTAGACTGATCTCTGTCTTTGACTGCTGAACCTATATTTGTCTCACCCTTCCCCCCACGACCGAGATGTGATGAATCCTCGCCACTTCTCCTTTTGAAAGGGTCATGATTGCCTTCCCACTTTCTGCGCTCTGTTAACAGAGCGTTGTGAGGAGACATCTTGTGGTGGGCACCGGCAACTTCCTCAACTTCAGCTGTTTCTAACCCTCTAACTTCAAATGCTTTCTCCGATTCAGAAGGTTGTGAGACTGCCGATCCATTTTTAAGTTTATTCGTTGTAACAATTGATTTCTGTGAAACGGAAAGCTCATTCTGACCAGCTTCATCACCTGACATCTCCGTGTGTCGAGCTCTTCTCGGGCTACGACCGGGATTGTCTGAATTTATAACTTCCTCACTCAAACGCTTCTTCCGCTTAACATCCTTTGCAACAGCTTCATCCTCTGAATCCACATGTTTTGACTTCCCTTCCTTCACTGCGGCCAAATTTTTCAAATCAGAGGCCTCAACGTCAGAATTTCCTCCATGAGCATGGTCGCCCTCAGTCACCTGCCGACCGTTGCGACCACCATCCTCGTCATCGGATGCATAGCTTGCGAGTCCCAAAAGGTTTCCATCAGGAGCTCCGGAACTTAGGCTCCCACTGTCGTCATCACTATCATTCTGACTCTTCTTGAGAGCAGGAGCGACAACTACCCTTACAGCAGCAGACGAACGAGCAGTAGAAGGTACAATAACAGGAGCATGAGTAGAAGATTTTGCTTTTGCTCCGCCGGCTTCGTCAGTAGGTGACGCTTTCTTGCCTGGATCTGCAACACGTATAACCAAACTAAATGAGTCGACAAACCCTTAATGACAACTAGATATCTATCTAAAATCACTAATATAAAAAAACTTGCACATCTCATGGTAGAGTTTCTTCTATGGATTTTAGATGCAGGCAAAAAAGAAAAATCATGGACAGAATCCGGTGCACACATGTTGAAACATCCCTAAATCGACAAGTGATATCGTTGGCTTCGTATGGCTCAACATTTCAAATAAAAAACAAGGAGCACCCAAGAAACCAAATAGAACTATCCAGAAAGTAAACGAGTAAAAGTTATGAAATGCAGCACTACTGATAGACATAAACGTACAGATGTACAAAAAAATAAATATCAAACCTTCAAGTAATCGTAGTTCGTCCTCATCCATAACCTCTTGTGCGATTTCATCGAACAAGTCATCTGTCACCTGCATAATGCAACAGTGTTAAAAATTTGAACACTAGAGAAAACGATTCACGGCAACGACTTGACAAATGAAAAAAAAAAACAAAAAACAAAAAACAAAAAAAAAAACAAAAAAAAAACAAAAAAAAAAAAAAAAAAACGCAGCTAGCAATCATCTCACGACATACCTTTAATAATACTTCTGTCAGAACCCGTTTGATTTCTTGATTCATCGCTGCAGTCCTCACAATTTCTGTGTCATCCTGAATCATAATTATTCACAACGGTTATCAAATCATACACTCCAGAACTAATGACCCGGAGCAAAAATACTATGACTGAAGATGTAGAACTTTGGTTAGATTCCTACACGCAAACATGAAGGAGAGTTACCCAAGACGACCATCTTCTTCACCATTAAAAAGAATACTCTTACTATGTAAAAGTATTTCCACTGCTAAATGCTGACATGCTTAGATGACGAGAATGGAAAACACTCCCCCAGTTGAACATAAAGTGTCGCTCGTGGCGACTAATCCCTCATTAGAGTACATGTATAGAAACTGAGTTTGATGGATAAATGTGGATTGTTAAGCACTAGAGTGCCAATTTATGCGCCACTGTCAGAAATCAAGAAATTATTTCTGCTTTTCAACATCGAGCGTCAATTCCCAATACAGTAATATGGACTTTCAGCGTCATTATTAAACTTTTTGAGTCGATTGCTCCATGCATGCGAACTTGTTGTCAGGGCACACAGCTGAATCCGGAAACCCTAAAGTGGCTAAAAATTATTAACAAATGTAGAAGCTTACCTCGTCCTCCTCGTCGTCAGAACCGCTCATTCTAGACAAGTCACTTCTTGACCTGTCCATCAACTCGAACTTACTGTGAGTAGACACTTCAATATTATCACCATTAGCATGAGGATTATCATCAGCAGCAGTCAACTGAGAACCACCAGTAACAGCAGCTTTCTTCTTCAACAACTCTTCCTTAAGCCAGTTGGGCACTGACGCCTGCACATAACCACGCCAGCCACAACTCTCAAGCTGGAGACGACAGGGATGTCAACACAGCAGGAAAGAACTCCAAAATTGGCAGAATAAATTAGCATATGAACAAAATAAGTTGTAGGATTCGATTACCTTCTTGGGTCGTTCATGACCTGCAATATGACCATGACCATTATCTGGAAACATAGAAAAATCCATCCCCGTACTAGCTCCAGGTCCCAAGCCAAAATGTCCCAGAGGAGGACCACCTGGTCGAAATCCTGGCCCCTGAGGAGGCCGAGGAAACATTGCATGACCCTGCAAATGCTGGGGATGTTGATGCCCCGGATGCATATGCTCAAATTCGTATTCAAACTGCAGATCGAAAAAAAATTATCTATCAAGTGAGCACTTTCCGATATAGAAGCTTTCAAAACAATAGAACTTGAGGTCGTAAATCACTGAATTTCAAGTATTGTTTCTCAAGAACAGGAAAAAATCTGTTCATTCTATTCAATAAAAACTGGTTTTAACATCAAAACCACCAGAAATATCGTGCACTAACAGACCGAAAGAGTGATCATGATATGAGTGTCTTGCAACAAATAAATAGGTAGAAGAATAGAAATGCTTATTGAAGTCCGATTACCTGGTGTCCCAAACCAGGACCTGCCCCTATTCCAGACCCCATATTGTTTGCAGGATAAGGCATTTGAGGCCAAGTCTGTGAATGTGGCAACCCACCGTAGGCACCTGCTTCTGGAACATCTGCAACCATATTGAACTGCGAGGGCTGCGGGTGTTGATATTCCTGAGATTGAGGCTGCTGAAACTCATAAGGCGGTTGCTGATGAAAATCATACGGAGCTGGCACAGGAGGCTCTCCAAATGCAAATTGAGAGGGGGGAATGTGCGGCAAATGAGATGTTTGTTGGTTTTGTGATAACTGAGAAGGTACTTGTGGTGGATGCTGGTGTGATAGATGCGGAAGGGGAGTTGGGGCTGAGAGAGGAGGGGGGGGAGGAGGGGTAGATAGTTGCGGCATCTCCTGCTGTTCCATCCCTGGTGGTACAGTTACATGTAAATCTAAACACAATGCAAAGTCTTAGAACTTGTCCTTCTGCACTAAAGTACAACTAAAATTGCAATTTCTGCGAACTAACAGTTAGAACTGCAACCAAAATTTGCAACTTGCGAATAAGAAGCAACAATCCTCCCTCCCAAAAAAAAGTAACCAAAATAATTCGCATGATTTGCATACCACTTATTAAGAAAAGGAAAAGAAAAAGAAAAAGAAAAAGAAATTAAAAAGCATGTAACAATCCTGCATTAGCATTTAATAAACGTAAAAGAAGCATCCAAATAAGCATTTATTTGGGGACTATCCATGTAAGTATACCTGATGAATTAACATTCTGAACGTGACTTGAAGACAATTCTTGCGAATAGCTGCAGGGTCCAAGCTCTGAAATGCTTCTTGGTACTGCAGATGGAGGAGAAGGAGCAGGCGTTGTTGCCAGACCGGAACCTGACGTTGATCCCTCTGCTGCAAATGATTTCCTATCCTCCTCATGGCTCCGGGAAGAAGTTTCCCTTCCATACGTTCCAGGAGCGTTGTGAGAATTATGGCCATAAATAGAATGCGCATCATGGCCATAAGCTGGTGTTCCAGGTTCTTGTACCCCTGCTGAGTAAGCAAACTGCTGAGGCAAGTCCACTGGCTGGGGTGGAGGTGGAGGTGGAGGAGGAAGTGGTGGTGGCGGTGGTGGCTGCTGTAAACTATCAGGAAAAGATTGATCTGGCTGCGTCGGTGCCTGCTGGTTTTGCTGTTGAGCTTCTTGCGCTGCTTTGGCAGCAGCCCACGCTCTAGCCTTGGCAGCCCATTCTTCCTCTTGACTAAGCCCTGCGGTCGGATTTCCTGGTGGAGTGACACGATCACGATAAGGATCGAACATATTAAACTGACTATAGAAACTAGAAGTAAGCCCGATATGAGATAAAAATAGTAATGCTCCAAACGTTGCCAAAAGGAAACGTAGTGATGACGTACCAGCCGAAGGCCACTGCTGCTGATTCCAACCATTGCTTGATGGCCATCCCTACGAAAATCATAATCACCTCATGTCAACTGCATTTTCCATTGAAAGACTTACAAAAATACCACTAGCACTAAATGTTATCAAGTCATGCAGTAACAAGTATGGCTCTGCTATCTTGATGTTTTGCGCTGTAGTTAATGGTCACCACTCAGTCAAAGAAACAGATCACTGCCCAAAAACTTGTCGTCAATGACTAATTCCTAGGTTAACGATGGGAAATAGTCTGAGAAGTCTTCCATGCAGCCCCGATGACTCCAAACACTAAATTAACAGTAAATGCCACCATCGCCATTACTACACTTCAGTAACCGAAAGTAAGCAATTCATTTATTACAGGTAAGCCCACAAACGAGCTCTGATGTCCTTCATAAGTTCCACGCACTGCAATGTAAGTCACAGAATTCTCCAACACACAACATCTTACTAATCGTTTGCCCATGAAACGAAACCCTAAGAGAAATCATAAGAATGAGACCATTGTTTGCTCTGAAAGGCCTCATAAGGCTGCAATTCCCTTTTTAAAATCTGTTGTTATAGTCGTTAATTGTCAAAAACATAATCATCGATTCATAACTAGTTTTGAAGTAAGATATTCAAGAACATCCCCTATACTCACGTATTTTTGTTTACAATAGTTATCTTAAGCAAAAGGTGCAAACTTCTTGAGACTTCTGAATCAAAGGGTATAGAATACACTCGTGATAAATGCAACTCACACCAACAAAATCGCATGTACCATACCCAAAAAAACGAACATTAAGCTATTGTACATACCACACTACATTCCCAAGTTCCTGACCAAAAGGACAAGAATGATAGAATTGTACAGTCTAAAATGCTCAAAAAGAAACCCAAAGCATTCCCCAAAATCAAATGAAATTCATCAGTAACAAAAACCCTAAGAAAGGTAAATGTACTTTCGCGCAGAAACAACTCTCCTCAATCTTCCCTGACCAAATGCAAAAATCTAAACACCAGCGCACCTGTTCAGTTCGCCCATACACCATGCCACGCTGCTGCGAAGGCGGCGGAGGCACGGGGGCCTGCGGAGCTAGCGCCTGCGACACTTGCTGATGTTGAGCCCCATAGTACCCGGTGGGCTGCCCGTAAAAAACACCCTGCGATTGATAAGTCTGCTGCTGCGGTTGCTGGTATTGATGCTGCTGCTGTTGTTGTTGCTGCTGCTGCTGCAACGAGTGCATCTGTTGTGGCTGATTGTAATGCTGCATCTCCGGCGTCCCTTGCCACTGCATGCCCGCATGCGAGTGCCCGCCATACTGCTGCTGCGATCCACCGTACCATCCGCTCCCACCCTGTTGCTCCATCACTCAATCCTCACTTCTCTCTACCCTAATTTACCCCCTGCTCCGCAAGCGATCACAATTCCTGACCTCTAGCCAAGCGCCCCATCCACCAATACGCCGGGGTCTGGCCACCGAAAGCGCGGTCAATCCATTCTCTACCAAAATTGACAACACATGCACAAATCATACACCAGCTTCACGTCCTACTCCTAGCAAAATTGACCAAGACCTCCTCCTTCCTTCGTCAAACCCTCGTCCCACAAGCGGAACCTCCAAATCCTGCTGAAGGAAGGCTCTTCTGCGCGATTAGGGCGGACAAGGACTGTAGTTCGACGCAAACCCATCCAAGTTATCATCCACACCAACGAACTCATTCATTCGTCCATCTAACATCTTCTAGTTTCATCCATCTATCCATCCGCCCACGTCGACATCGCCAACGCATCCTACTCAGCCAACGCAGAGGTACTAGGCTTGTCCACCTGGCCCAACTAACGCCACCCTGGACTCGTGCCAAACGTCCGCCTCCACGGCTTTCGCTGATCGCTGGTGCTGACGGAAGCCCACTGAGAACGACGGACAGCGCTGCCGCACAGCTTTTCATCCGTCCAGCCTGCATCACCTTCCCTGTGCAATCAATTTCGTTCTGCCCCGCAGCCCCGGATATTTTCTCGTTGAGCCCACCCTTGAAAAGTCGTCGAACCTCCGTCTCCGTCGGCTTTTCCGTCTTTCCTCAGTTCCTTCATGGTTCCAATCAAAGTTGTAGACTTCGCGAACTTTCCCCTTCATTTCCCTTCTATGTGTGGGTCCCTTCACCGTGGGCCCCGTGTGCGCGTCGAGGTGGAAAGTACGCTGAGCGATGAACGTCGTTCAGTACCAGTTGATATGTTTTTCATTCGTTTATCTGGTTCAATGTGAAAAACAGACAGTCTTTTTTTAGATCTTTAATATAAATACAGAGAAATTTCGTGTTGTTGAAGGTATATTTGCACTATTTATATCTTATCATGTGTTTTAAACAATAATTCATGGTTAGATGCATGGCTTCACTCTCTCTCCTTGAATGTCCTTAAATAAGAAGATCATTTACAATTGAATACTTGTGCCTTCAAAATTGCATCAGTTTATTCCTTAGACTCTGGATATACTACCATTAACAAAGTCATACCTTTTTTCAAATTAATAATTAAAATATGATGGTTCTCATTCAAAATTACCTCATACACCAAAGAGAACAGTTTTTAAGTAAAAAATAAAATAATAAAAAAATAATAATAATATGATATGCAAGACATGAATATTTTTATCCAAGTATGATAGTTTATACATTATATTGAAATTGGAAATAATAGAGATATATAAATATAAAGTGAGGAACAAGCACATTTTCTGAATATGAAGAACAATATTCTCCACCAAGAACACAAGTGGTTTCTGACACTTTTCCCAATGCTGACATGGACTAATCACTGGGTTTGGTATTGTGTATGATTCTCATCAACATGGCAAGTTTGTTCCTAAAACATAGTAATAAATTATTTTTATTCATTTATTTGTCTATTTATGTTGCTATTGTGGACGAGGGTGTGTCGCACACTGTAAAAGCATTAATATTTTCATCTTGAGCAAAATGTGCAGAACTCATTTTCATTGCTTCAACAAGACTTGAAGGCATTGAGATATATGCTAGAATTAGTTGACTTTATTCTTTATTATTGATTATGGATCTTTAAAGATTTTAAAACAAAGATTGACCTCCACAATATTTATAAATATATTTTTTATATTTATATGTATAATAATGGTGCGACTAACAAGCAACATTCATTGAAATGAAGTGGGTGCAAGTCATTTATTATCACATTCCTCTGGTACTCAAAGTTGAATTGTGCCTTGTATGTTGTTTGTTCGTGTGTTTGTTCATGTTTTGTGATTTGAAAGTTAGCACATGAAAAAATACATTTTAAACATTTATATGTTAATACATAGAAGACAAAAAATAAAAATAAAAAATAAACATAATTTTCGAAATTTTGAAATGATGCAGTCCACACGTTTGGAATTCAAAGAGTTTGTTGTCATATCTAATAAATATGATTTTTTTTTTTTTTTTTTTTTTTTTAAGTGTTGAGAGATTAGATGTATATCCACATAATTTTGATAACAACAAAAATTTTGTTGTTTACAAAGTCTAATCTAAAATTATAAAAAAATGGGAAATTCACAAAACATCACAATGGCAATCAATCATCCATTCTTGTAGGCAATTGAGATATACTTCAATTTATTACAAAATTTGACATCTAGTACTACATTGTATCAAGCTATCCAAAATATGTATTGTGTGAAGAAAACCATCACCATCATCATTTCTAGTTGTAATTACCAACAACCAAAACCTTTACAAACCTCCTATTATTATCTCTTGGTCCATGACTGTGAACTCTTGCCATAAAGGTTGCTTTTGTTTAATGATAAGCTTAAATCTCCAGTGTCAAAATTGCCCTAGATTAAACCTCATTGACCATACTTACTAAGAACTACATGAATATGTGTGAAATAAAAAATAAAAAATGTAACATTTCATGATGTTACAAGTACAATAATTATATATATATATATATATATATATTGATCAACAAAATCCAATAACAATTCTAACCTCACAGAGAAGTGGGAAGTAAGTTGCTTCATTTCAAGAAGAATGCACCAATTCTTACTCCTTGAATTGTATTCAAGACTACTTGGAATAAATTTACAACAAATGGCAAGTTCCATCAAGAGTTGAGCTCATAATAAATGCCTATTGCTCTACACATGTTCAAACTTTGACTGTAATTGTAGTCCCACATGGGATCAGGAAAAAAAACAAATAAACAAATAAACAGACAACAAGAGCAAGAAAAGAAGAGGAAAAGAAAGAAAACAAAACTACAACACACAGGGTGAGATTGAAGAAGTTTCGTTACTCCATTGCATTTTGGAATGAATATGAAAGTTTATTTTTTGGTGTTGTAATTTTCAATGGTCATTCATTTCTCGGACGGAAAAAATAAAACATGAGGCATGTTGTAGTGTGGATTTCAATTCATTGTGCACACATGCACAACATGGTTCTAATTTCTTGCCATTATGGACAAAGGGATGCAATCAAAATCAAACGTTGTCATGGTTGACATGTTCAGGCATCCAAATTGTAAAAACAATTAAAAATAAAAAAGAAGAAGCGGAAAAAATAATCTCTAAGCATCTTTTAATATAAAGATTTAAAATAAATAAATGTATATATATATATATATGTAAATAGACATGTCGTAAATATATCTCTATATATTTATTCACCTCATATGTATGTAGAAATAAATATATATATATATATATATATATATATTGTAGTAAGCATAGTTAAGATGCATTAATGCATCTTATAGATAATTTCATGCTTTTATTGTCATGGTAATAAATTGCACAGTTTTGATAAAACTTAACAATTTTGTAAACCAATCAAACTACACAATAAGTATTTGGTTTTTAGAGTTCTTATGACGTATCACATCAACATTTTGAACGTATGAAATTATTCCAACAGTATCTTATTTTCATGTTTGTAACATTATCATCTCAGTGTGTGTAAATGTAGGTGGATTTTGAAACAATACAAGGAGGAGTTTTAGAAAAAAATTTAAAATTTAGAATTAAAATAGTATTCACATTATATTGCCAATAAAAAGTCAAGAAACTTCACTACATGTGCTTAAATTGGCTTCTTTCCAAGGGAGCCAATCTGTGAAACAGTTTTTGCACAAGGATGCCAAAGTTTATAACACATGAGTCTAGGCCTCCACTCTTGGATGGTTCAGTTGTGGTTGCAGTACAAACAACTTGCTTGAAACAAAGACCCAACAAAGGAATTGTGAAGGCTCTTTAGTTGGAATAATAATAATAAAAAAAACAAAGTGCCTCTGAAGGAGCTTCAACCATTCGTGATGTCGTGCAGGGTTTTCAAGAGTAGAGTGGAGACAAAAAGTCACAGTAAAATGCTCAACTGCCCTCAATGAAAAGACCCAACTCTCTAACTGTTTGTTATTGATTACTGGTGCCCTTTTTTTTCTTCTCTTTCAATCCTTCCTAAACCATGGGCCACCCTGAATTCTATTCAGTTCAATGTTAAGAAAGGGCGACTACCCCTGATGAAAGGGTAATATTGTTTTAAAAAACTTGTGTTACACATGAAGTAGAATTTTCTGTAGAATCTTACGTGGCACTTTTTTTTATACTGAGATGACTCGAACATTTCATTGGCTTAACTGGTAACTTAGTGACTTAACTAGTGACTTAGTGACTTAATGACTCAACTTAGTCTTAACTTGTGAGTAGAGATGAGGACTCTGGGACAATGGAATAATAGTGTCCCCGGTGCTGGTCCCCAGTTGGTCGGCCTGCGACACGACAACCGGGTGCCAGCGCAGCGGAGATGGGTAGAAACCGGGTGACCTGTCCCCGGGGGCCCGCGCTGATAGGGAAGAATCGGGTGAGCTGGTGGGACAGGTGCGGTGATACGGCCCGACGATTCCCAGCGAGCACTGTGGGCAGAGAGAAGAGAGCCTCTTGGGAAGGCCAGCAGCCAATGAAGCTACATGGCGGGGGGAGGCAGTCGCATGTTCCGAGTGGAATCGTGGTGTGGCCTGCCAGGTCAGTGAGGGAGTTTTACTCGGAACTGGGCTAGTGGACGTGTAGGAGGGTCATGGGGCCTGGCTGGCTATGCCCGCAGCAGCATCCTTTGAGAAGGGTATGGGGACAAGGGGGGCTCTGCCCCTCCACCTACAAATAGGGATGAGCGCAGGCAGTGCGATCTTTTCCAACCCCCCGTCGTCTCTCGCTCCCTTGCTCCATCTTGATCTCGACCCCTCTCTCTCTGTGATGCTCTTGCGTTGCTGCGATTGATCGATCCCGTTCTCGCCTTCTTTAGTTTTTTCTTTTGTCCCTGAGGGCTGCGTCGATTCTCCTCGTGCACGCCGTTCTGTGAACTTCTTGATTACTCTCTCTTGTCGCCGATTGTTTGAATTATTCGCGTGCAATTGCTGTGCTACACAGCTTTCTCCCTCTTCTGCCCCTTTCTCCGTGCCGTCCTCACTGTGGTTTCTGTTGCCTGCGCTCCGTCGCCGTGGTGCTGAGAGCGGTACCGTTTCGATCGGTTAGTTGTTGAGGTTGATGTATCGCTGCCGTCGTGGAGGTTGTGAGAGAGATTCGAGTTGAGTACCTCCTCTGCGTTAGTCCAGACTGTTTTGTTTTGTGGCCTGAGTGGTTGGTCTCGGATTTGGTGAGATTTGAGAGTTGTGGTGTGACTAGGTTCTGGTTTGTTGGTGCTGGTTCGAGTCTGTGGATTTCAATTGCGACGTTGCGACGTTTGTTCGTGGAGATTTTTGGACGTGCTTTCCAGGCTGGCCGTGTTGTGATGCTGTGGCTTCCAGACTGTGGAATCATAGTTTGTGCTGGGATAGTAACAATTAGCTTCAACAGCAATAGGCAGTCCGGGTGTTCTACGAGTGCTTTGAGATTCCTTCTCAATTTATGCTTTGATGTGAGCCTGTCTTGATGCCCGTGGAATTACCTGCAGTTTCAAGGTTGTTTGTACCCGCAAATTACGTAGAAGTTTGTACTTGTTGTCGTGTGCTAGTCTGCTACACTCGACACTCTTGTCCTCTGTTATCGATTTGAGTTATATTCTTAGCTACACGCCTTGTCTCCCCATTTATCAAGGTCCTTTCTGTGGGTCTGGGACGGCTATCGTGAAGTTCCGTACTTTTAGCACTCACAGAGTTAATACTTCAGATAGTTATTCCTTGCTCCCACCTATAACTTCCTTACTGTTATCGAGTATCTTCTGCTTAGAAGCTTGTTCCGTTTTTTACATTTTTTATTTTTTTTTATTTTTACTCTCTCATTTAAAATCATACTGACTGATTTAGTTGCTCCTTCTTGCTGTCGCTCTATTCGGGCTTCAAATTTTCAAAGTACCTTGAACTTTTTGTTTCGTCAGCTCAAGTTCTTTTGTGATCTTTGAGCTCTTCTTCTCCTCATTCTTCTTCCTTTCATCAATTGAAAGAGAACATGCTTGCTTGTGCCATCGATTTTCGGTGAACTAAAGCCGATTTCAAGCTGTGCTCGTGACTTCTTCAAGAAACATCCCTTTTTCTCAGCTTAGGAGGCCATGCTGCGTGGACCTCTAGACTCACGTCGCCGAATCTGGTTAATTCTTGTTGAAGGAGTAGAAGATCTTTTTCGCTAGCAGTGCGTGCCAGCGAATAAACAACACTTGGTAACCAAGTGCTGCTGCAACAGGCACGAACATATCACCGAACATCCCAATTGCGAGGACTAGCTTTTCAGTTGGAGGGGCAGTTCTGGGCTCTTGGTTTGAGGCTGTTTTTCATTACAAGAAGTTAAGAGAGAGAAAAAGCTATTTAATTTAGAAGACGAGGTAACAGGTCTTTCGAAGAATGATGGCATATGTGGCCCCTGTAGCTCGTACGAAGAGTGAACACCCTGGCTCAACTGTCGCAGTTGGAGGTTTCACTCCTTTACCGGGAAGGCAAATCTACAGTGTAGGATTGACGATGAATGACGGAGGCAACCGGACAGATGGTCCCCGTGTTGCTCAAGTGACCTCATCCACTCTTCCTCCCGTACTCACTCTCCCGAAGCCAGAGCCACAGCTGTATCGTAAAGCCGAAGGAGAAGCTGCGGATTATGATATCTACATGCATGGTCGGAAACGAACTAAGCTCCATGACACTGGTTCTTCGCCAGTATTACAGGTGAGTATTGATTAATTGCCTCTGTTTAAGACTTGCTTCCGAATAATTTTTTGGCTGCATTTTGGTTCGTGTGATTCACATATTGTGTTTTAATTTTTACGTGTGTGCTTGTGCTTGTGCGTGTGTATATGTGTGTGTTGACATGTGCGCGTGCGCGTGCACATTTTTTAGATGCTTGGATGGATCATGTTGAAGAACTAATGTAACACACAGTAAGTATATAGGACCTTCAATTTTCTAAATGATCATGGTTAACATTTTGGCTTTTTCATCTCTGCCGCAGAGCTCTTGTCGTTTTCCATCAACTACATTCGAACATGATAGTGAAGGTGGATCTCCTCTCCCAACTAGGTATCCGCAACTATCCGTTCTGAGGAAAAGCAGTTCTATGCTTCCTCCTACGCCTCTTTCTGTTGCTCAAGCCCCATGTAACCCACTCGAAGAGCCCAGTCCCTTGGGTTTGACGCTGAAGAAAACTCCCTCGCTCTTGGACCTTATCTCTTTTCAACTCCAACATAGTGCTACTGCGCAAGCTACTGAATCTGAAAACTCTGCCCAAGGCTTTGGGAAATCGAGGATTGTGAAGTGTTTAGCTCCAACTGGCTCTACTGCTCAAGATAAACTGAAGGCTTCTAATTTTCCAGCATCAACTCTTAAAATTGGAACCTGGGAGGTAGGTTCCTGCGACATGTTTCTTTGTTCATTTTCAGGTCTTTATGGCGATTGAAATTATGCTGCACCGTTAAAGCCGAGTTTCTGTTTGTGTATCCTGAAGATTCGTGACAGGAGTATTTTATTTGAATTTATTGATAAGCGGTGTTGTACTTTTGTATATCAGCGTGCATCCAGATACGAAGGCGATCTAGTGGCCAAATGCTACTATGCCAAGCGCAAGCTTGTTTGGGAGGTGCTGGATAGTGGACTCAAAAGCAAGATTGAAATACAGTGGTCTGATATCTCGGCGATGAAGGCTATTTGTCCTGATAATCTTCCTGGATCTCTCGAGATCGAGGTACGGTTGTTTGTTGCAGTTCTGATTCGAATTATGCGTCTTTGATTGGTTTAGTATTTATTGTACATGGACATCATTATCTCATAATAGTTGGTGACTGTTTTCAGATTTCTCGTCCGCCTTTGTTCTTCAAAGAGACGAATCCTCAGCCAAGGAAGCACACTTTATGGCAGGCTACCACCGATTTTACTGGGGGCCAAGCAAGTATTTGCAAGTGAGCACTTTTCTTTACTTTGCCGTTGGGATTTTTGTTCGCATGTAAAAATGTTGGTGGTTGATAAATTAGTTGCACGTCGTCTCACGTAGATACGTCGAGATGTCACTGGATGGAGCTCCTTTCTGGTTTTAGCTAGGTGATAGATATGGAAACTTGTGTCGGTATTGGGCCCAGATATCATAAAATGCTGATCCTTTTTTTTTTTTTTTTTTTTTTTTTTTTTCCTTTTTTCTTGTGACAGGGTTCACTACTTGCAGTTTCCTGAAGGTGTCTTGAACAGACATTATGAGAAACTTGTCCAGTGCGATCCTCGGCTGAAGGCGCTTGTTGACGGAACTCTGTCAGGTTCAGGTCCTCGTTATGATTCAAGTGAATCTGCCTTAGAAGGTCAATCAGTTCTGCAGCAGACGAAGCCTCGGAATGCAATGGCACATGTGTACGATGCTTTCAATAACAGACCAGACTCTCCCTTGTCTCCATATTCGCATTTGCAAGCCAGGACAGGATGTCCTTCTGTTGTTCCCGAATTGGAGTCTGATTTCTTGAACCGTAACAATGAGACATCTTCCCCAAGCTCTGGTAGGCGTCTGCTAATACTCATGTTTGTCTTTAATCTTTTTTTATGCACTGCATGTTTTCTGCAGTTGTATTTCTAGCACCAATCTGTATACTATTTTTGAACGTGATTCTTGTTCAAGATTATTGCTACTGGTGATATTAAAAAATTACCGACTAATTTGCAAACTTCTTCACGTTGCAGTTATGGAAGTTCGCAGACGCGAGGAGGGCGGCGACAGTGATAGCGGGGAGTTTTATGGGGATTTGGGAAGCTACAGTCCCTACCCAGTCGATTCTGGGTACTCTACTGCAATTGGCTACGATTTACAAGACATGAAGTCATCAATGAATCTTTATTCTGGGAATGCCGGCGGGTCAGCTGCAAACAGACAATTCTTGGATGAGATTGCGCATTTGTTGCTCGGAGACTCATCCGTTTCGCTTTCAAACGAGCAAGCAATCCTCCTTGCCGCCCGAGTGGGCACTATGCAAGCTGCCATAGCTAGAGACTTTCAGGCTGGGCCCCTTTCACAGCCCGGTTTTGATGGTTTTTCTGTTTTAAATGAAAATCCTGGGTATTACACTACGAATTCCGAACGAAGCATGGGCACTGACAATGGGCAGGCTGACAGCAATTTTGACACTAATAGTAGGTTATCAAAATGTACCAATATGTTGGAACCCTCATTCAACTCAGTCGGTCAGTGCCTCAACAAAAATCCCTCCACAGGAGAATTGCTTATGAATCTACCCCGTGTGGCCTCGTTGCCCCAACTTTTTGAGTCCGTCTCCCAGGGGCCGATGTCGAGATTCATGGGTATCCAGTGAAGGATGTTTAGTTAAGCTGGTGTGTACTCTTGGATTAGATATGCGTCTTCAACCAGTCCAGCAGATAACTTGTAAATTGGAGCATTGTAGAAGTTCTGTTAGCGTCAAACACCGATCTGTGTGCGACTGATTTTCCGCTTCATAGTCCAGCTCCCGTTTGCTCCATCACTTGCATGGAGTGCGGTTTGATGTATTCTTTTCCATTATGATCAAAACACCTTATAGGTTATGTAATATTTGATCCTGCTGTTGCAGAAACCGTAGGAGAACATTTAGTTTCTTGGTTTTATTTACCTCTAGAATATGTTCTGATGTCGCCCTGGTCAATGTGGTCAAAGCCGACCAGGTTCCCTCTTTCGACTGTATACTCACTGTTACTGCTCTTCAATTCTTATCCCACAAACTTGATAATGAAATGGATTTGCATCATGCAGGTGCAACTTCCCACAATCAATTGAATGCTTCTCTTTAACCTCTCTACATGCTTCAGATTAACCCACAGTGCGGCTTGTTGCTGTTGGTGCCATGTCTAAGTAAAAAAATTGGTGATGAGATGGTATTTTGCAATGATAATAGGCAGCCAGCATGTGTGGAAACTGCTGGATCATGAACCAGAACAACTCTGTATCATTGTTTCTCAAGCTCTGGGGCAGCAAACATACACAAGATTCTTACTTTCTGCACCTTTTTTTTTTTTTTTTTTTTTTTTTTCCCATGGATGCTTCAATTGTGAATTGGGTTTCACAGTGAGAAAAAAAACTTATCTAAAAAATTACCAAGTTAGCTTAAGCATGTGAATCATTGAGCAAGCATGCGGAATCTCAACAAGAGAACAATATCATAGAATAAGCTGTGTCCCCTTTAAATTTGCCACAAATATCACCAGACAAGTGTGAGGAGGCTCACAAAGGGAATCACCTTGGAACTATTCAAAGTTCCATTATTCCATACATGCATCGATAGCTGCCTCTGATTGGGAATCAAAGTCAAGGTCTTCAAAGATTTTAAGAATATTTTAAGAATATTCTCAAGGAACGTCACTCTTCTTGAGGCAATCTAGTGACACTCACCTGGATTGGTAGAAGTTCCATCCAATTTTGATGGGCTTGAATGGTGCCAAACCTGACTTGGTGGCTATAAGAAGGCTGTGATTGGGTACATGGTTATCCATTTATTATTCTTTATCCATTAAATTATTGTTGCAAAAAAAGAACGAAAAAAATAATAATTCATTATAATCAGCATATTTAACTAGAAGAAGATTGAAATGTAAATATAGTATAATAATTATTTTTGATGTGAACGATATGCATGTGTTTAGTCACATGGCTTGTATGCTCTTCACATGCATCCAACTTCAAAACATCAAATTATCATTCATGCATGCAGCCATTGTTGATTTATTGCCAAAATAGAAATGAATACCAGTTATGTACTTGCATTAGTTTTTGATTGTGTTAACATTGTAACAGAAACATTTGTTTTATTCTTCATCAAATATTGATCGAACTGCTTTCATTTGAATGAAAATGGTATCAATGTATCATGTGTTTTGAATGTGAATTGTTTTTTTGTGCACATGTGGATAATTTTGAAGTTTTTGCATCTAATTTATTATTTCATAAATAGAGATTAAGTTATTTAAATCTCTGTAATATTATTTTTAATTATCATCAAAGTGAGTCAATCCACAATAATCTGTATACATCAGGAAGAATCCACATTTTTTCTTTAAAAAGACAATTGGCACACCTATAATTATATAACTCAATTTATTTTATAATTATTTTAAATCCTAGTTCTTATATATTTTGTTTGTATCTTGTGATTTTGTATTAAGATACTTCTTAAAAATAAAGTACCAATTTGTTTTATAATTAATCATATAATGGATAATATCCAAAAATAAAATAGTTCTATAATATAAATATAAAAAAATATAAAATTATAGTGGATTTCATATAATTTTTCAGATATATATTATATAATAATATATATTATATGTATTTCTGATCAAATATTATTTCAAATATAATTTGATATAAAATTATCTGATAATATATGTGTATATATATATATATATATATATATATTTATAATTATAGTGGATTTCAGATATATATTATATAATAATCTAATATATTAGGTTATATATTACACCAATTTCATTCTTAAATAAAAACACACAGTAGTTTATTATTCCATATTTATTTTAATTTATGTTCTAAAGAATTGTCATTGTAAGTCCATATTATAGTGAATTTACAATACGTTCAAAGTCATGCAACATGTACTTGATTGGCATTTTAATTCAAGGATAGCATCACAACAATAACTCCATTTGATCAATGACAGGACTTATTTATGTCCTTGATTCATCTCCTTGTAATTTATTTTTCAAGCCAATCCCATCTCTCTACATATATACTAGCAGAAATGTGTGCAGTTGGTCACAAAAAACACATTATAAACTATGTGTTGTAAATTAATCTTTTATTTGAAGCTTCATATGATGTGAAACTCCATGTTGCATGCTGGTCTTCTATGTTCCATGTTCCACATTGTGGTGCTTCTAAACCCTATGCTTAGTGATCTTGCAATGCTATTCTTGGCAATCTAAAGCAACGTGAAGATTTTGATCTATGATTGATCAAAAGTTGAGTTATTACTTCACTTTTGATGAAAACAATGAGAAATAAGACATGTAACCAATTAGAGATGATTTTTGTCTCCTTTGATTTATACAATTGATTTATTGTTCTGATATGTTTGCTTCATTTTCATATATATATATATATATATATATATTGCTTCATTTTCATTTGTGAGTGTCATGGTTTCTGCCTCCACTGTGTTGGCCCCTTCTATCTTCAGCACCAACTCATTCACAGCATCAATGGAGATAGCCTGAAGGGGTGAATTCCTAGCACTCTAAACTAGTTTCAAACTATCTCGGTCTTGCCCTAATTGTGCATTGTGGCCATCACCAAGCAGGTGGGTTGGATGATTTAGCTGAAGCTGATCCCCTAGGTAGCCAATCCCAAAGAAATCCAGCTTTGGCAATTCTTAAAAAACACACTTCTTAAGAAACTTGTTTGATTTGGTAATTTTGAACACCATCTGTGCTATGGTTTAGGGTTTACCTGAATTGTAGCCACAGATTTGGTCAGACATCGTGCTGAGGTGATGGTCTCACTCCAAAACGCTTCGAAACTGCAAGTATCTAGCTCTTGTCCTGTTTTTGAATTTTGTTCTTTCATGAAGCATTCTGGCCGCATGCGAATAACAATGTTCTGGGCAGATTTTTCTTAATAGTGCAGCGTCACAAACGTTGAGGCACATCGAATCGTCATGGCATAGCATTGTTCCGTCAAACAAAGCAAGTTTGACAAGTCATATATACAAATCCTAATCAAGCTTGGGCAAAATTGGCTGGTCACTGGAAATATCTTGCACGGCTTTCAGTCCCACGGTACAGTGTTGGACTTCGTATCTGAATATCCGAGGCGAATCTAGAGGGCATTGACAATTTTTCCATTTGGGTAGGAGTGGGAAATCAGAGTTGAAGATGCTTGAGTCTGATCTCGAGCTTCACAACAAAGACTTCACATTGAAATTAATGGGGATATAATCTCGCTAATTCTCGGATGTTACGTTGCAATGTCACTCTCTTGATGGGGAGCTGCAGTTTGATCAGAGACTATAATCCATCATTTCCATCAAATTGCGCAGTAATACGCGTTTCGGAGGAGTGCGAGTGCGTTGGGTGTTTCGTAGTAATTTGATGAGGTGGTACGAGAGGATTTCTAGAGTAGTACTGCGTTAAAGCCTGGTTTGTCCGAATCGGTGTTTCGGTGCAGCACAAGAAGCTAGATTTTTAACTGGAAACTGTCCGGAGTCTTAAAATCTCAATCATGCACGACGAAGCCTTCCAGCATCTGGTGAAGGGCCACCAGACGCGCATCTTGCTTATGACCTGATAGGCACAGGACACAGACAGCTGAGAGTTGCAACCTGTTGCTCAGGAGGTACGGCCCTTTAAGCATGGATGCAGACCAAAAAGATCCTGAAAAAAGAAGATGAATTACGTGCAACACGCTATTCATGAAGATGTTTCTGAAACCAAATCAAGCCACTCAGATTTCGATACGTGAGCTAATAGGTTACATAGACTACCCTCAAAATTCAATCATCACAACACAGGAGCTAGACATAATCCATGGGTCACTCTATCTAAGTCAGAGATGCTAGGCAACGTAGGATACCAAGCTCGCAAATTCAATTTCAGCTCAAAAATCATCGTAGATACAAGGTGACGCCAACTCAACATCTCATGTTAACGATCCAGAGAGAATCTACCATACAGAAACCCACGTAACTGGCTCGAAATGACTAGTACTTCAGCAACACACAGATGGGCAATGGTAGACGGTGACACGTTCTCTGGTCTCAACATAACCAAGTGTATTCAAAATGGAATACTCAAATGAATTCTCCACCATTCAACAGGCAGAAGTCCTGTGTGTTCCTGCCTACAACGTATCAACGCAGAATCCAGATAACTGAACAAAGGCTAGTTGTTAATCCACCAATTCTGGAGATACCCTACATTATATTCCGTAGGGTATCCACCAATTCTGTAGGGTAACCATCGCCATTTGAAGAATGTAATGGTTAACACAGTCATATTCATTAATTATGAATAAGGTCTGAAGCTATAGTGTAGAAAGCAGAGGAGCTGATAAACGCTCAAGCAAGAGTTGGAGTATTTACACTTTCTGGTTGTGCCCAGAACCGTTCAATGGAAGGAGTTCGCTACGAGTCTTCTAGACCGCCGCGAAGTATACAAATCTGACCATCTCGAAGCAGTACGTCTTCATCAAGCTGGTGAATCCGTCGACGTAAGACTTCCACCTCCATACTTGTTCGCAATGCTTCCCTGCTCATAGCCTCTGCATCCTTTTGCATTTCATCTCTTTCTTGTTTGACAAGAATTAATTCTTTACAGCCATGATCCATCTCTTTCATTAGTTTCTGCAGGGTTGTCTCCTGTACTTTTACCACCTCTTCTCTATCATCCAACCGATGCTCAAATTCTGTGACTCGAAGAGTGACGTTAGCAAGGGAATGGTGTAAATTTTCCCTCTCTAACTCTAATGCATCCCTCTGTTGCAGAAGACTTGTAATCTGTGGCTGACAATGCTGGAGCTTTACCTCTAATGCGTCCACTCTCCCTTGTAGCAGCTGACATGTCAAACTCTGTGATTCCAACTGCTTCTCATATTCCTCCAATTGTGTTCTTGTTACGTCCAGCTCTTGATCTGCTTTGGTTTTAGAGCCCAACGCAGTTGTAATCTGAGTCTGAAAGTCCTCTATCTGCTTACACTGTGACTGGGATTCCCTGGTGAGGACCTCATTCTGTTTGGAGAGACGCATGATACGTGAATTCTGAGAATCTACTGTCTTCGCTAAATTGCTGAGAGAATGCTCTAGATCATTAACAACATCGTCCTTTCCCGCAATAACTGCTCTAGCTTCCTCTAATTGAAAATCACGTTCGGAGAGTTTATTCATCAGTGCCTCCAGCCTTTCATTCATGCTGTACAGTTGCTGTGCCGCAGCCTGCAGACTCTGACGCATTTCACTTCCCAGGTGTGCAGAATTCGGCAGTTCTTTGTCCTTCACCTTCATCTTCACATCACCATTTGAAGACTCATTCTCTTCTTTATCATTCAACTTCATCGTCGCAGCACCTCTTGGAGAAACCTTCTCTTTTAACGCAAACGCAGCCTGAGCTGAATCTCTGTCCTGTATGGAGCGCTCCATCTGAGATTGTAAGCTCAGAATATCCTTCTGCTTAACCTCCAGTTCCCACTCTACCTTTGCAATCTTTTCAAGAAGGCATTGATTTTCTTCCTCTAAGCCGGAAACTCTGTCATTAGAGGATCGCAGGGCCTCTCTGGTGTCATGCCTCTCCCTTGTCAATAGCCTCAACTTTGCATACAGAAGATTGTTTTCATCTTGAAGTTCGGCAAATTTAGCTTGGTCACAATCAATTTCAGCTCTTAAATCCTGCTCTAGTTTCTTCATATTCAATGTACCCTCCCTCTGTTGATTGGTAAATCTCTCCAATAGGTAGTTGATGTCTCGCCGTACGTTTACATTCTCAACTCGAGAAGCTTCAAGTTCATTACGAAGAGTGATCTCGACATCATTCAACCTTTGCAATTCTTTCTGCAACCTGCTCATCTTTCCTTCTTTATTGCCATCCATACCATTCTTCAGCCCTTGCCTGAGACCATGAATGCTTTTCTCATGATCCATACACAATTGTTGCAATCTTTCTACTCTGTTTTGCATGTCGAGTTTCTCTCCGTCATTACGAGCGCAAATCGAACGAAGCTCTTCAACCTCAATGTCAGCTTCTCGAGATTGTTTACTACTTTGAGCTGCCGCTTGTCGTAGTTCTAGAATTGTTCTCTCCGCTTTCTCCACTCGCTTCCTGTGACCATCCATTTGCAACTCGAATTCCCTAACCTTGTCTCTCAGGATTGTCTCCTTCAATGTCATAGCAGCCAAATCCTTGTGCAGTGCACCTTTCTCTTCTTCCAAAGCCCAAACTCTGTTCCTCAGACCATGGTCTTCCAGATTCGAATTTTCCGCATCCGTTCTCACACCGTTGTGTCGATCAATAATCTGAGCGGCGTCACTGACCTCTTCTCCAAGATCCTTCGAGGCAGTGCGCATGTCCACTTTAACCTTCTCTACATCATCCAGTGCGCAGACGTAATCTTCTTCTTCCTTAATGCTACGCCTATTCCCAGCAGAAAATTCTACTGACCTCCGCAACTCTCCAGATATTCTGTACCCGTTTTGATGCAAAATACCGCCTTCTAAAATTGGACAATTCCATCCAACATCATGAGCTAGTTGGACCTCGCTGAGAGCCATGGCTTGCTCACCACTGTTAGCACCGGCAGGGGTATCCTCCGCCTTCGAGGCGAGAACTGTGCTGCTCTAGAATACAGCGATACTGTTTATCCTCACCACTGCTTCCACAGACAACTCCTATTCAACAATTCTTCACCACCCGTCTCATACTCCACATGTCCCATTATGCTAATGCTCAAAGCAAATGTGCAATGGATATCGCTGCATGAGAACTCCTATCTAACTACCACTTCAAACCCCTTGCACCAAATAGACCTGCTCTGATAGCACCACACAGACACAAATTATCCAACGTCATCAATTCTCAACACGCATCTCCAACTTTCTAACAACCAACCGGCCTAAAACACCCCAAGCACCAACACTCGCGCCCAAGTGATACTAAACACAACCGGACAACAAGCACAACCAAACCCAATTCACATTCCATCCTCCCACTTCCTGACGTTCCTCCATTGTCAAAACCCCCGATGTATCTCCAAAAACCCCCTCCCAAACCCAAAAACGGCTCTGAAGGGCAAATTCCCAACTCTACCAGAAGTAACAATCCTCCCTCAGCTACTAGTCACTGAGCAATACCAGATCCAAAGAACTGGCGAAGCTGCAGCTACGTCAATTCGAATAGCACCACCGAGACAAACCACCCGCGCCTCCAACCCGCCAATCTCAAACAACCTATTACTCCCTGTACACAGCAAAAGAAAAAAGAAACTCCCAGTCAAATTGATCCCACTGCGTCACCTCCGCATACAACGGCTCCTTCTGCATAATCAAGAACACCACACGCCCGAGAATGCACTTCCGTCGAATCGAATTCAAGGGCAACTCGGTGTCACCTACAAAACGTGTAAAAACAGAACCCTCAGGCTCACTCACGCGGTAGACTTGTGTCCATTCCACCCCCAACTGATGTCAACACTCAATTTCATCTACATCTCCAGGTCAGTCCAATCCTCTATAATTAGCAACCGCTTCCGCGAAACGGCTCCGATCCATTGCCCTTTCGCGAGGAATTTCCCCCGCGACCAAGCGCATTGAATGGAAAATCCCTTCCTAGTTGTAGCACTTCTTGAAGCTACCACGTAGGCGGGAAGACGAAATCGCCCGGCCACAGAACACTTCGAAAATCTGAACCTACTGACCCCTGACAGACTTCATCGATTTACGAGCATTTGCGCATCGTCTTGGGGTGACATGATCACGGAAGTTTTTAATTCAGCTGCAGGATTTAGAAAACCAACTTGCGCCGGCGTCGATGCTGTGAAAACCGTTAGAAGAATTCTCCCAGGACTTTGGGGCGTGGTGAGGATTCCGTGACAGTTGGGGCTTCGTGTTTGAGGGTTTACGATTTCTGTGCGCCACTTTCTCCGGCTGGATTCGAGGGGCGAAATTCTGCCGCCGCCCTCGCCGCATTGACGCGCATTCCATTGTCAAGCGGCCTGACGCATCGCCGGTCGGCAGCTTCGGACGTCGTTGTCAAGGCCCTTGCAACTTGAAATTTTGAAATTTTAAAAAGTTTGAATTTCGTCGAGGAAAGGCGGGGGAGGAACTTTAATGGAGCCATTTCGAATTTTTAGAATTTTTGCGGAATCGATCCATCTGACTGGAGAATTCCTTTCTCACATTCATTGTGATGGAGATATACTAGAACAATGATGCATGTGATTTTGGAAAAATTCATGTTTATATTTAATGCTAACTTCCACAATGTATGAGTCAGTTAAGGTGACTTGATGGTAGCCTAATTGTATCAGAGTGTTCCTTCTACATCATTTGTGTATATGTTTTGAATTTGACCATTAGATTATGAAGATCGGTTTGTAGAATGTTTTTTATTTTTTTTATTTTATTTTTATTTTATTGTTGAAATAAAATAAATCAAGTATCTATAACATTTTAAATTAGACACAAATTATACTTTTTGAAAAAATGATATAATTAGTATATATATCTATAGATCAATAAAAAATAATTTTCTATTTTTTGTATAAATATGATATAATATTTGCATTTGCATATTTATATATGTTTATTATTTAAAACAACTTAGATCTAAGATGAAGACATAAAGAAGCAACAAGTTTCATCAATGGATCTTGATTGGTGGAATTGTTAAAGTATAGTTTTAAATTATTCAAATAAAAAAATATTAGGATTTTGAAGTCATTTTGATTATTCAAGTATTTCATAGAATTTTAATGGATTTATTAGAAAAGTCTTATTACAAAACAAAGTTATAAGGATGGAATTTTAGTAAGTCTTAGTAATAATTAGCTTAGTTGGTTTAATATTTTTGCTTATTGTTAAATAATAATGTTTATTTATTGAGACCAATGTCTACATTGGCTTTTTATCTGTATGTATTATTTATTAAAAAAACCTATAAATGTTAGATAGAAGTTAGAAATATCATGAAAAAAATCTTATATTTTATTAGTTTTTTATGTAAAAAATTAAAATGATAACTGATTTAAATTAACTTTATTACTATAAAAGTTATTGAGATAAACAAATATAGTCTTAAATTGAAACATTATAGAAAATAATGAAAGAAACATTATAGAAAGGTGAATTTTATCTTTATAGAAGCCTACTCATTTATAGAACATGGATAAATAAGGATAAATGAAGGAATAGATGGATGGTAATATTAAAGATTGTGATATCCAATGACACATGTTTTTTTAAGCATATATATTGAAAAAAATATTATAATGTAAAAAATATCAAATATTTTGTATTTTTTAAATAAAATACATAAAATTAATATATTAAATTTTGACTTAATATTTTGACTTATAATTTGTTATTATCATTCTAAAAAAAATTAAACAAGAATAAAAATATATTCTCCAATATTTAATTTAATTATTTAAATTTAATCTTTTAAAAAATATTTTACATTAAACTTATGTATGTAGATTGAAATTATTTTAAAACAAATTTAATGTATTATTTTAATGAGGTTATAATATTAAAAAAATGAATGTTGTCATGTTGTAATACATCTCTTAGATGAAAGAAAAAAAAATATAATTTTATAAAAAAGCTTATTTTAAAATATAGTAATAAAATACTTTTGCAACATAGATAAAAATTAAAAAATTAATTAAGAAATTTTAATATTAATGATGTCTTTTATAATTAAATTTCTAAACACTTTATTAGGCCATAAGCAAGGCAAAATAAGGTATATTAATCAAAATAATATTACAATGATCTTTAGATAGAACTAATGAGAAAATTTCAACAAAAATTATTTAAATAAATCTTAAATTGATATCTAACGAGGATTGGTTATTAACAAAGGTTGAAACCAAATTATATGTCATGGACATACATGTTTACTTAGATTAAAATAATTAGATAGAAATACATAGGATTAAGTAGATGTCATAATATCTTGTGAAGAAGCTTCTTAAAAATTTTATAAATGCAATTTTGACTTTATATGTATTTATAGGTGATAGTTAGATTGAAAATTTGGCCAAGAAATTGACCACATGTTGCACATGTAAAAGAACTTGTCTTACAAGTTAAATTAATGTTTGTCAAGTTAGACATGTGTTAAAAGTCCTTTAAAACATTGCCACATAGTTCTTAGTTAGATAATATGTATAGAAGCAAAAGTGAAGTCTTATTTACTCTCGTCAACTTCTTTTTGCTTTAAGTCTAGTTTTTAGAGTTTGTAGTTTCTTAGTCTTTAGCAATAGCCATTCTAGTATTTATATCATATTATCTTTGAGTAAATATTTACTTTTTTTCAAGTGACACAAAAGAGTATTGACATTTTTATTCTTTGTGATTCATGTCCTTGACAATTTAACAAAAGTACTAATTTATTATTTATATTTTATTTTTAAAAAATAGATCATTTTACTTCTTTTGTTGTGTTTTAAAGCTTATAGACTACTCACCTTCAAACTAATATTTTTGTTTTCTAATATTGATTATTTTCTTAAAAAAGATGATTATTTATTTATTTATTTATTTCTGATTTTTTATTTAATATTAGAGATTTTGAAACTTCTTCTTTTAATTTAATTTTTTGTTTTTTTTAAAGTTATCTATTATAGATATAGAAGAAAAAATTATGGATGCTAGACTTGAAAGAAGTAAAAATAAATTTATAAATATTGCAGATCTTCACAAATTTGTCAATACTCTCAGGATATAAATTTCATGTATTACAAACATCAATCATAAAGATATTATTTTCACACCTATCAAAGAACTCAACAATGAGGTTCAAAATCTATGCCAAAAAGTTGTATAATTGAAAGAAGAAAATAGACCAACCTCACAATTAAATCCAAAAAGACTTACTACTACAAATATGCAAGAATTAAGGCTCAGTATGATAATTTTTTTTGATGGAATAAGATCAAAATTTTGAAAATCTCTACAATAAGTCAAGTTCTATTTAAGATAAAATACTTTCCAATATCTTAATAGATTTATTCAATTTAAATTTATAGAAGCACTTTTATTTGGAAGTGCTTTCTCTTAATTTGTACCTTTAAAAAAAATGATTTATAACTCTCCTATGATTTAAATTCATCTTTAGAAGTATTTACAACCATATTTAGAGAAAGTAATTAAGAAAGAATAACAAAAATCAAACTCTTAACTTAATAATACTGATCATGTTCTACTACTATATATGCTACTAAATTTCTAAACCTTTCTTATAACTTAGATTGGAATAACAAGCCCTTAACAATCAATTTTGATATGAATTAAAAAATGTTATAAATTCATTATTAAAAATACCAAAAATAGGTTCATTGAAATAATTTATTTCTTAAGCCATTGCATACAATAATTAATTTTTTAAAAGATACTAAGAAGAAAGTTTTAAATGAAGAATCATAATTCAAGCCATAACAATAATTTTTTAAGTTTTTAGAAACTTATTCATCAATGCCAAAATCTATGCAAATTGATACAATATATTTTGAACCTCTGATCAAGCAAGAAAAGACTTAATATTGTCAAGAAGGATTGTACTTGTATTATGGAGAATCTAAGCAACTACTCAACATTATTCAAAGAAACAACAGAAATAAAAATTTGAAATTATGGTTGCTAAAGAATAAAATATGTTAGAAAAAAAATTTGCCTAACAACTATAACAACCATGTAGCTAAAATAAGAATCATGTAGCCAAAATCTTATAAAATACCTAATAAAAGGTCATATTACCTCCTAAGATCTTTTATTACACTTTACGATAGATCTTTTTTTAAAGTCAAAAAATTACAAAATCTTTGCCTTGTTAGATTTAAGAGTCTCAACTTTTTTTATAGATAAATATTTTTTTAAATAATAAGAAATAATCCTAATTAAAAAAACTAAGTTTGTATATGTAGAAGTCCTAAATAATTTTTCATTGTCTTTTGAAGATGTTACCTATTAAATTAATCTTATAGATGCAACAACTAATGTTTATAATTGCTGAGTAATTTTTAATATTATGAAATCTCCATCCAATCCAATCATTTTAGGTTTATCATAACTAAAAATATATAATTCTTAAATAGATTAGATCCTTTGTAATCTTTATTTTTTCTTTAGAAAAATTTAGACTTCTATTGATTAATTTAAAATTTATAAGTCCTATATAACCAAATCTTTATTGGTAGGTGCAAGAACATTTATGCATAGTGCAAAATAAAAGTCATCTTTTTTAATTTAAGCCACACTTATTTCTAATGGTAGAAATATTTTAAATGGCATTTCAAGTGAATATTTATAATTATCAATTTATTTTTGAAAAAAATATAAATATTCTTTTAAAATATATTTTTTATAATTACATAATTAAATTTCAAGGAAAAACTAAATTGCAATTTGGACCAATCTATAGCTTATTACAAAATGAATTGGATATGCTCAAAGAATACATTAATAAGAACATGGCTAAGAACTTCATATATCATTTAAAATGTCAAATAAAAGATTTTATTTGTTTACAAAGAAAAAAGATGAATAACATCAAATTTATAGAGATTATTAAGAATTCAATAAGATCATCATTAAAAATAGATATCTTTTATCTTTGATATTAAAATTTCTTGATTAATTGAATAATAAAAGATCTATAGAATATTAAATCCACAAAGAATATAAAATTTGATATAAAATTTTAAAAATAAATAAATAAAAGATTATATTTTTAATTATGTAAGGATATTTTGAATATAATATCATATATTTTGAATCCCCAAATATAATAGATACTTTTAAATATCTCATAAATGAATTTTTTTGAGATTTTTTAT